GCAGAGGGACCCCCACCAGAGCATGGTATGGATGGCCAGCCTGATGACAAACACATACACAAAGGGAATATGAAACATTTATTACGTACATGACTGAAATCACTGGAAGGGGTAGTGCAGACCGTTCAGCAAGTCAGAAATGCTGTGACAAAGCCAGGAAAGGAGGCTTGCTCAGGGTGTTGATTTGGGCTCGGTGGTGGGAGCACGGCACGAGATTCTGCTTATGGGATGGCCTCCTGCTTTTTCAATCTCCCAAGGAGAGGCTGAGCCCGGACACAAAGCTCCCTGCACAGAGACAGGAGGGGCTGGGCTGCAGGGGGCGCTCATGACCGCTAGGGTGCGCTCAGGACACCAGGGGACACTCAGGACACCAGGGGTGCTCAGGACACCAGGGGTGCTCAGGACCACCAGGGGGCACTCAGGACTCACTAATCTCAAGAAGCAGCCCCAGAGGCAGGTGCAGGGATAGGCCATGAAAAGATTTCTTTTCCAACTTTGTTTCCTCTTCACAGTAAAAAATAAAGTGAAATAACTATTCTCCATGGACTGTGCCCTGGCTGTCTCTAACACACCATTCCTCGGCTCCAAGCATAAAAGAGCAGGGTTTTTCATATACGTGGTGACAAACGTGGGCAGGAGCCCACAGTGTTCCTAATGAGCAAACCAAACCGTGGTGTCATCCCATCTCTCAATGTTTGGGCAGTGGATTAAGGAAATCCACCCATTTATTATCCTTTTCTTTTATTCATTCTTAGGGCCTCATTCCCACACATGCTGAGTTCTCTTTGACCCCAGCCTCTGTAGGTATTGGGCGGGAAAGCGGAAAAGTGGTCTGGGCTCTCACAGTTCCCTCTGGTGGAGTTTCCCGAGCCCTGGTCCAGCCTGACATGAGGAGGACACAGCCACGCTTGGCTGGGCAGGAGGTGGAGAGCAAGATGGAGCCCTCTTACTAGGAATCCATTGGTCAGGAGGGAAATGGAGACCTCCTTGTGTCACCAGCTCTCAACGCTCCCTGTGGGGCTCCAAGTCACCCAGAGACCTACGGAGAGTTTAGATGAGCCCCGTGCTTCTCATCTCTCCATCAACGTGGCTTCCTCACGAGGTAGGGAGAGCACAGGAGATCAGGGCTCGGGACGGAGGTGAGGATGGTTCCAAGGAGGCTCACCACGAAGCGTATTTAACCTTAGGATACAGAGATCTGTTCCGTTTCCTGGTTTGATACCATACAGCACGAGTACTAGGATTTATTCGTTCGGGAAAACATGGCTTGTCCACAGAAGAATGAACGGTAGTGAATCAATATTCCCATCTCCAAATGGTGTCCCAAGATGAGCCTCCAAAGGTATAATTAAGCGATGATTTGGCCTCTTCCACGGCGTGGACAACAGGCCAGGCTACCTCACCATGAATTAAGACCATTTGCCAAAGCAGTGAAGGGAAACAAGGGTCAGAACAGCAGGCTGGGGGAGGGAGAGGTGTGAATTCTTCTACAAAAAGTATTAAGGACCCAAAGGCAGACATTTCTTGCCTTTAATCTCAAGAGATTCACCGCAGCCTCTAAAGTCTGAATGAGGGTGACTCCCATCTTCCCTCTGCCTGACCTTTGTTCCTGGGAGTCAGGATGATAAAGTTTCAAATCCTACTTCTAGGGGGAGAAATATTCTGGTGGGCCTATGTTTCTAGGGGTTATTAGACAAGCTTTGGAGCAGCTCTCCTGTTACTATGCACCCATCAATCCCTGTGCAGGCAAAATTGTGTGGAGAGAGACCAGTGGTGCAGAAAAGTGTGCCAGTCCTGAGCGCGCAGCGCAGTGGTTTCAGCACCTGCACACAGCTCCGTTCCGAGCACTCAGGTCCAGAGTCAGAATATCACAGAGCCCCCAAAACCCTTTTTGTCCCATCCAGACCCTGCTGCAAATGAGTGACGTCTGGACGCCAAAGTCATAGGTTAGTCTGCTCATGTTTGACTTTAGTAAATGAGATCACAAACCCGTGATACTCTTGTATCCACACTAAGGTGTGAGGTTCCTATGGACAGATGCATGCGCTGAAAACATTCTACCAGGACATGACACGCGGGGTTGTCCAGGGTTCAGCTAATACAAAACGCTGCTAGGAACAAAATGGGTCACGTCTTCTAGTGAACATGGAAGTAATTCTGTTGGGTAAACATGTGTCAAAAATTGAGTTATTTGTAAATTTTGAACTGCTTAGGTACCTATCTGTGTTTGACCTACAAAAGGGCAATTTCCCTTTTCTGCTCATTCCCAGCAGTGGGACTTCTACTCACAGAGTACCGTTCTTTTCAACATTAGTAGATATTGCCAAACAAATTCTGCCAATGTTCACACCAAAGGTACTCTCACACCAGAAGCACAGGAAAGTTCTAAGCACCCTGCATCCTCATCAATACTGGGTGTTGCTCTTTTTGGGTGTGCGGTCTATTTTCTTTGGCATGTAGTAGTGCTTTGATGGATAAATATATGTGAAAGTAATTTGTCCACTGTTTTGTTTCTGAGTTCATTCTCATAATAGTATCATTTGATGAACAGAAGTTTTTAATTTTAAAATCCAAAATATCCAACTTTTCCTTCATTTGTATTGTGTTTTAGATCCTGTTTTTTTTTAAAAAAAAAGTCTTTTCTTATTGCACGGAAATTAAATTTTTGTTGGTAAAGTTCTAATTTTTCAGTTTTCACATTTAAATCTACAATCCACCTGGAATTACTTTTTTTTAGTATGATTAGCAGGAGAGATCCAGTTTATTTTTCCCAATTCAGACATCCTAATAACCCAGAACTATCCCCTAAAAAGTCACACTTTCCTGGTGCACTTCAGCCACCACTGTCACAAGCCGGCCATCACTTCAGCCACGCCTGTTTCCGGCCTGTCTGCTCAGTGCTGGGGGTTCACTCATCTCCCTTTGTACCAATTCCAAACTGTCCTAATTACTGCGAGTCTATACTGTCTCTAGATATCAAGTGGGCCAAATCCTACAAATTTGTTTAACTTCATCAGATTGCCTTGCCTATTCTTTGGCCATTTTTACTTTCACAAACAACTGGCATCGAGTTGTAAACTTCAGCAACAACAACAACAAAAGTGCTGAGGCTTTGATCAGGACAGCGCTGCAACTGTATGTCAATTTGTGGAATTCGACCTCTTTACAACACTTAGTCCCCAAATCCATGAAGACCTAAGGAAAAAATACCATCTTCCATAACTTCTTTCAGAAACTAGAGAAATAGAGGACACTTCTTAACTAGTTGTGTGTGACTAGGATAACTGTAAAATAAAACCTGTCAATGATATTACAACAAATAAAATTATAGGCCACTCTCTCTCATGAATCTAGAGGCAGCTTAGTAAATTAAATGTAGCGATACATAAAATTCACACTGTGTCATGACTATATGAGGGATTGGAGAATATGCCAAAAACAAAAGGAGGTTAGGATATAGATGTGGGGTGACACAACATTTTGAATGCACTAAATGCTACTGAATTTTTTACTCTAAAATGTCTAATCAAGTGACACTAGCATATGGTGATGTAAGATTTGCCTCCTTTTATCTCCCTTTTTAATCAATGAATGAAGGAAGGAAACTGAGCTCAAAGGCTGGAATATTGTAATCTAACTGATAAAGAATTCAAAATACAGAGAAACTCTACAAGTTACAAGAAAACACAGAAGGACAATTCAATGAAATCAGGAAATAAATATATGGACAACTGAGTTCTTTATCAAAGAGATTGAAATTATACAAAAGAACCAAACAGAAATCCTCGAGCTGAAGAATTCAATGAATGAGATGAACAATGCAATAGAGAGCGTCTATAGCACAGCAGACCAGATTGAAGAAAGAAAGAATGGCTTGGAGGATAAGAATTCTAAAATAACAGTTAGGCGAGAAGAAGGAACAAAGATTTAAAAAGAGCAAAGAGAGCCTACATGAACTATGGGCAGAGGGTTTATTTAAAGAAATAATACTTGAGAACTCCTCAAACCTGAAGAAAGACTTAGATGTGCAAGTCCACGAAATTAATAGATCCCCCTATTGTCTCAATGAAAGAGACCTTCTCCAAGACACACTAAAATGAAACATCAAAACCAAATGACAAAGAAAGTATCTTAAAGGCAGCTGGCGGGGTGGGGGGAGAAAAAGAGTAACCTACACAGGACCCCCATTAGGATCTGAGCAGATTTCTCAGCAGAAACTCTTCAGGCCAGGTGAGAATGGAATGACAAACTCAAAGTGTTGAAAGATAAAACTGGCAGGCAAGAATACTTTATCCATCCAAGTTATCCTTCAGATATGAAGGAGAAATAAAGTCTTTTCTAGACAAACAATAGCTGAGGGGGTTCACCACCACTACACCTGCCTTGGATGAATGCTGAAAGAGTTCTTCAAGCTGAAATGAAAAGATGTCAATCAGGGACATAAAAACATACAAAAGTACACGACACTTGGGTAAATGTCAAAAAGAGTCAGAATTAGAAAAATGTAACTCCATATTAGGATGGTGTGTTAGCCACTCAACTACGGTATAAAGGTAAAAGGGAAAGAGCAGTAAAAATAACTACAGCTACTACAAATTGTTAACAAATACACACCATAAAAAAAGAGGTAAATTAGGATATCTTAAGGGTAGGGACTTTAAAGGCAATCACAGATAAGTTGCTATCAGCCTAAAATGGACTGTTTTGTCTATAACATGTTTTACATAAGCCCCGTGGCAAAAGCCTAGGGCAGAGCCACCAAAGATAGAAAAGGGGAAGCAGAGCAGACAAGCTTGGAAAATCACCAATGTACAAGGGTAAGGGCAGGCAAAAACAGAGGGAAAGAAACAACGGTATGCAAAACAGCCAAAAGGACTAGCAAGATGGCAGTAGGAGGTCCTTACATCTCAATAACCACTCTAAATGTAAACGGATGGGATCCGCCAACTCAAAGGAGCAGAGAGGCTGGCTGGATAAAAAAACAAGACCCAACTACATGCTGTTTACAAGAGACCCACTTCAGATTTAAGAACACACACATAGATTCAAAGTGAAGGGATGGGAAAAGATATTCCATGCAAGTAGAAACCATGAGAAAGCAGGGGTGGCTATACTTATATCAGACAAAATAGACTTTAAGCCAAAAACGGTAATAAGAGACAAAGAACGTCATTCTTGAAGGATAGTCTCTCGCTCGATGTAGAATTCACAATTGACCATCTTTTTTTAGCACTTGAAAAATATTGTGCAGCATCTTCTGGCTTCCATGCTCTCAGCTGAGAAATCCACTGATGCTGAACTGACGTCTCTCTTCAGGTAATGCTTCGTCCCTTTCTCGCTGCTTTCAAGATTTTGTCCTTAGATTTCAAAGATTTGATTATAGTGTGTCTGGTCATGGATTTCTTTGAGTTCGCCCTTCTTGGCTTTCACGCACCTTCTTGGATTTGGAAGTTTGTGTCTGTCACCAAATTTGTTAGGTTTTCAGTCATTATTTCTCCCAATACTCCTCCCACCATCTCATCCAACACTGGATCTTCTGCTGTTGTCACAGCTCCTGAGGTTGCTGTTTTCCAATCTATTTTCTCTCCGTTGTTGAGAAACACCGGCACCCCTTCATCTCAACAAAAAGAACATGCATGACGATCTGATGGCACGTGGGGCACACTGCGTGACAGCTTCCAAATTCTCACCTCAACAAGAGAAGACATTTTCCTTTCAATTATCTATATCACACTTGTATTACAAAGATATCTCAGTAAGTCTTGCAAACCCTTTGCTCGCTCTCTCTGAATATTCTGAATACGTTCCCATGCTGTTTCCTTTATGCTCCACCCTGTGAACGGTACACAGACAGATTTCCTAAAAGTAGACCATTCTGGAATTCCTGTGCATAAGGACTTGGAAAAGAGTTAATGGTTCCTCAAGACTTTGTGGCTTTATCTTGCCCAAGGGCAGAAGCCCAAGGGTCTGTGAGCCACGCCATCGCTGTCCCTCACTCCTTTCTGATTTAACAGCCAGGCAAGAGAACAGCTTTAAATAAAGAGAACGCCACATCCAGTTTAGCCGGATGGATGGGTGGGTGGGGTGTGAGGGCACCTTGAAAATGTGAGCCCTGGAGTCAGGGCTGAGGTGGCTACAGTGGTGGGATGAGCTACTGAGACCCACTATGCGCTCCCCACTCCCCCAGAATGGAGGGAGAGAGACCACCAGAAGGCACAGCCAGAGAATCACCCCCAAGCCTCCATCCTGAGGCCTGAGCATCTTGGGGCTCAAAGATGTCCATCTCAGTGTCAGAGATGGCACCATGGGGGGCTGTCCTATCTGCACATCCATAAAGATGGGGTCCTCCCATTTTTAGGAGCTGCAATTGAAGGGCACTGGGTGGTTGTGCCTTGCCTGGCGGGCTCAGGGCAGTGACACGGGGTGGCCATGAATGACCCTCGTGGGCAGAGAGGAGCCACACTGGTTCAGGAGCCTCCACGGAGGGTGCCCTGGGTGTCCTGGCCTCCCTGAAGCAAGAGGGCGGACGGAAGCTGACCCCGGAGCCAACAGACACAGCATCCAGGTCACTTTGGATGCAGGGTGCTCCCCTGCGCCTGGGCTGCTGAGAGGCCACTGGGGAGCCCACATCTCACCTACTGTGAATTGGAATAACACTCACACTCGCTCACACTCACACACACTCATGCACACACCCACTCCTCACACACACTTGTGCACACAACCACTTTCTCACTCACTCACACACACTTGCTCACACTAACACACACTCATGTGCACATGATGTGTTCCGGGCTCTGAGGAGTGCAGGCCATGGCCCTCTTTCCCGAGTGAAGGCGGATGCTGACACCGCGACCCCGCGTGCCCAGCCCTGGAAGAGGCCTCAGGAGAACCGTTCCCCGAGTAGATTCTCCCCGAGACAGCGAGAGGACCTGAGGAGTCTGCACAGTCATGAGGAGCATCATTTGAGACCCAGTCAGGGTGGCTCTGCGTTCCCATTGTTTGCCTTAGATCCACCCCGCCGCCAACTGTGGGGACCACTTGATTGAGCTCCGTGGGTGGCGGCCACAGCTGCGGCCACAGGCTGCACTGACCCAGGTGGCTGGGCAAGAGCGCACCGCGGCAGAGTGGGACAGAGGCCCGCATCCACCAGCAACCTGTTCCTTATGTAGGCGGATCCCGGACAAACATGCTTCCCTGTACTAGAACCCTCAGCCTCCTCGAGAGCCACCCCAGAGCAGGCACACACCTGGGGCCCCCACCTCACAGCCTGTCCATCCTCCTAAAAAGTCCCCAGGCCACCTTGGAGGAGGCCTTGGGGTCATTTGGTCAGCCAATTCTGGGTCCTGGGGTCCTGGGGGCCTGGGTTCCGGTCCAGGGTTGGGAGGTGCCAAGCAACAAGACACGGGACCGTGGTTGGGGGAAGCACCAAGCAGCGCAGGGCCGCCAGCCGCCTCTGCTCCAGTCACTGTACAGCCAGGGCCCTGAGCCTCAGTTTCCCCATCTGTGGGGTGCTGAGTCTGGACTAGGATGATCCTTTTCCCTCACACAAAAGATCCTCTGCCCTCCCCAGCCCCTACGTGGGCTCTGCTCCGGGCTCCAGCATGTGATAAAGCTGCTGCATTTCTTTTCTCTCAACAAGACAGACAGGAGCAAGCTGCTCCCCGGGGCCACCCCAGGCCATGGAGGACACCTGTGTGGAGGGCTGAGAGGAGGTCAGTCCTCATGCTGGCGACGTGTCAGAGGGATGGAGCCACCGGCCTGGCTGCACTCTCCTTCATGCTGCCAGCCCAGGGTGTCCCCAGCAGGACATGGGGCCCAGAGGCGGAGAAGGGCCGGTTAGGACATGCAAGGCGAGCAGACGACCGCCCCGAAGGCCTGTCCCTGCATTCATGGGGTGGGGGTCGTGTGCAAACAGAGGGGAGCCATGAAGGAGGCCCCTCCTCTGAGATGGGCGAGGGCTCGGGAAAGGCCAGAACACACCCCATGGAGCATCGCCCACCCCAGGGCTCCACGTGGCGTCCTCTCTGTGAGGCGAGGGGGCCCTGGGGAGGCAGCTGCCCCAGCCCTGTGGGAGGGGGTGTCCACCAGGGGCTCCCTCTGGGAGTGCCAGCCCAGCCCAGCTCTGCAGGACACCCCTGTGGCTGCGACTGGACCCAGGGCAAGATTCTGAGTACGTCCGTACTTTCCAGGTGAATCCTGAGAAACCAACGCACCCCGTGTCAGAGACCAGCCCACACCTGGGTCTCCCAGGCCCCAGGCAGGGCTGGTGGGCACCCCTCCTCGACCAGATGTGACATCAGGCAGACCCTTTATCTGGACTCTGCCACGTCTGCAGGGGACAGTGATGTGGGGTCAGGCACGTGGCTGGACCCGCCCACCACATGGAGCGTGACCCGGTCAGGGGCCTCTGTGTGGTTGGGGGCCCACATTCACCACCCCCAGGCAGCCCACATGCCGGGGGCCCAAACAGCTGCAATGTTGAGCTGACCAGAGCAAGAGAGCAGCCTTCGTTGGGGCCAGGCCACGGTGCATGCCGCCCACCCCTCAGGGCTGTCAGGGCCTCTGTCCAGCCACGGAAGGAGGTCCCGGGACAGGCCAAAGGGCTTTGAGGAAGGCCTGACCGTGTCCACCTGCCCACCATAACTGTCCATCTGAAAAGCAGAGACAGGTGCAGCAACTGGGCCTGCCTGGGTCCGAGACCGACCAAGGGTCCCCGAGGGCCCGAGGAACTGCGGGCCAGGGACAATGCACAGCCTGCACCCTGTCCCAGGTTCCAGGGAAGTGGGTGCCGGTGTGGAGGGCAGCAACAATCACCCGGGGTTCCTGTTTTCACTGCCTCCCACCACAGCATCAGCTGCATCTGTGGCCTCCCAGGGCATTTCCTGGACCCCTTAACAGCAGAGTTCTCCATGCAGGCCTGGGCCCGGGAGGCTTTGCAGCACAGCCTGGGGAAGGACATGGGGGTGGGCCACTCCGAGAGGGAGGGGTGAAGATGCCTGTGTCCAGGTGGAGGAGACACGTGATGACCAGGTGGACCAGGTGACCCGAACTGGGGCTGGCCCCTCCCTGTCCACCCAGTGCATGGCATTAGTGTCACTGGTGTGGCCTGTGTGCTGCAGGCCCGCCTTCCCACCACAGGGAGCATGCTGTGCAGGCCCAGGGACTGCCCGGTGCTGCAGAAAGCCCAGGGGACAGCCCTGTGTGTGTCCAGCTGGATTGGGGCCAGGACTGTAGCGGCACAGGACGAGGGTCTGGAAGGAGCAGGGTCAGTGGTCAGGGGCCCCGGGTGGAGGGACTGAGGGCAAGTCTTTCACTGAGCAGAAAGATGGAGAGGCCATCAAATTCACCCAGGGCATGGGCGACCAGCTGTTTCTGACAGCTGGCCATGCGGAGCAGGGTGACCCTGGGCCACAATGCCCCAGCCAAGTGAGCCCTGAGCAGGACAGAGGCTCCATCACTTCCCTGTCCTCCACCCAGGCATGCCAGGTGGGTCCCAGGGCTCAGGTTCTGAAATTGAAGCCGCAGAAGCTGCCAGAATCTGGCGACCACCAGCATGTCCCGGAAGGTGGAGTCTGGCTCCCAGGAGATGTTACACAAAGGTTTGCTGAGTGGGGTAGGGGGCTGAGTGGTGGCCCATAAAAGATACCCACCCAGGTCCTTCTTGCTGGAACCTGTGACCATGTGACCTTATGTGGAAAAGGGGTCTTTGCATATGCAGTTTAGTTAAGGATCATGAGATGGGAGATGATCCTGGATTACGTGGGTGGGTACTAAACGTCATCACAACTGTCCTCAGAGGACGGACGCAGAGGGAGATTGGACACACAAGAGAAGACCAGCTGAGGATGGAGCAGAGGGAAGCATCAGAGAGAAGATGCTACCCCACCAGCTTTGAAGATGGAGGAAGGGGGGCCGTGAGCCAAGGGATGTGCAGGATGCGGCTCTAGAAGCTGGAAAAGGCCAGGCACGCATTCTCCCTTAGATCCTCGAGAGGGCCCACCCTGCCCACCTGGGTTCTTGGCAGCCTCAGGACCCTTCTCCAGGGGTCAGATGCCCCCCTCAGGGTCAGAACCCTCCTCTCAGGGTAAGACACGTTTCCACGATCCATTTGGGGGCTGAGAGCCTCACAGGCTGAGCTGGGGTCTTTGTTCCAAGCAGGCGTTGACATCACTGGGGCACTGACCAAGCCTGTGAGAAACCCCTGGAGTCAGCTGGGATCCATCTGAGGTGCCGCCTGCATCCCCTCCAGGGTCCTCCCTCCCTCTCTCCGCCCTCCATCCTCCCCTGTGCCTGCATGTCCAGCTAGAGCACAGCCCCCACTGTGCTCCCAGCCAGTGCAGACCCTGATGGAGCTGACGCTGACTCTGGGCCCAGGTCAGGGCTGGGCTCTGGGGCACAACACGTTCCAGGAGGGGGCGCTGGAGGCTGGCGGTGCTTCACTTATGGGGCCAGGAGCGAGCTGCAGAGGAGAGGGAGAAAGCTGTCCCCTCCCCCTGACTGTGGAGGTAATTGGAGTGTCAGGTGTGGCTCTGGGAAGTGACATCTGTACCTGAATCCTGTCCAGGGACATGGGCAGAGCTGTGGCCTGTGCCACCCATGCCCGGCTGGAAATGGTCAAGAGCCTTGGGTGCAGGGACCTATAGATTCCTTAAGTTTGTGGGAAGAACTGTTTCTTCCACCCTGGTGGAGAGCTGAGGGCTGGCGGGAGTGGTCACGCAGACAAGGGTGCTCACAAGATCCGTGACACTGCCAGATACCTGGGATGGAGCTTGGCTGGCGCTAGGAGGCCGCCTGTCATGAACGAAGGGCTCATGTGTGAGGTCTGAGTGCCAGGGGGTGGCTGGAGTCAGGAAAGGGCAGCAGGGTTGGGCACAGGAGCCCTGCACGGCCAAATACAGACAGGTGGGCAGCAAGGACTCTCAGATCATGTCACCCCCACCCCAACAGAAACTCGAGTGGCCAGGAAAGCAGACTGAGGACGGGACTATTTGACCCAAAGGAGGTGAGCCTGGACCGTCCTGGGGGACCCAACGGGGCAGGCATGGAGCCTGCCGAGAAGGGGTCAGGTGACAGACCCCACTCAGGATGGCTGAGTTTCTTGTCGATCGAGCCCAGGGCCCAGGGCAGGTGGCCCCGCCAGGGGAGGGTGTGACTTGCGGGGTCTCTGCCAAGGGCAGTGGTGAGCTTGACCTTCACCCCCTTATCAGCCCCAGGCTGGTCCATGGCCACTGCGGCTCTTTGGGAGACCCCCACTAGAGAACGTCCTCGGATCACCAGCCCGAGCGCCTGGACATGGTAGGAGATGCACTGGGTGGGCAGAGCCTCAGGGGCGCCGGGACCCCCATGCACAGGAGATGAAGCTGCACACGCACCCAGGGGAGGCACCCCGGGCATCACAGGGCGATCGGGGCTGCAGAGGGGTGGCTGGTCGTGTGTGCGGCACCGCTGTCCTCAGCAGCCGGGAGGACAAGCTCCTCCCAGTCCAGACGTGGGGCCCTGTGAGTGACACAGAGCAGACACGCAGGCATGTGCTTATTCTCAGACTTTCTCCTGTTCCTGTTAAGGTGGATGCTGTGCACATGTGTGTGTGTGTGTGAGTGTGTGTGCACACGCACGTGTCCATCTGTGCTGTGTGCGCCTGCTCTCCATCCTAGGTTTCTCAGGAGTCCCCATGGAAGGTTCCGGTCATTCTTGTTTGTCAAACCACGGAGGCCAGCAGGAGAGGCTATCCCCAGCCCTCACGTCACGGCCCCTGCGCTCTGCAGACTGGCTGCTCACCATGTGGCTTGTGCCCCTCCTCAATTTCTCCACAATTCCTTGGGGTCAACACACTTAAAATCTTCAGAAGGTTTTTAAAGCTCAAAGATGGAAGGTTCCAGAAATACTTACCCAACTCCACCATGGCTCCAGGAAGTGAGACCCCCAGGGGTGAATGGGGGTAGTTGGAGAGGGGGGATATTGGCCAAAGGCTGGGGTCCAAGTGGAAGTGTGGAGGAGGAATGTTCCAGAAGGGGGTCACTGATTTTGTCCGCCTGTCACTCCCCAAAAACAACTCCTCAAAATCAGGAGGGCTTTGCTGTCTCGACCACAGGCTCGCAACCTCCTCCTGGGCTCGGCCACCCTTCACCATCATAGACGCCAACTCTGTCACCACTCTGGGGGCCAGCACTGTGGTCACCACAGTCACTGCGGGCTGGGGACTGCCAGGGACAATTGGAGGGGGGTGCAGAGCCTCATCAAGCCACAGCCCCAGAAGGAAAGTCCACTCTGCACTGGGGCTGCCAGGACTGGCCACGCCACTCAGCCTAGGGCCCAGGGAGTGGTCCCCTTGTGGCTCTGGAGGTGACCTGCAGGAGATGAGGGCAGAAGTCCGTTCTCCCCAAACCCCCGTGGTCGTCCCAACAGGGACGCCTATAGACGAGTGGACACCAGCCCCACAGGTGGCAGATAGACACCTGTGCTGTTCCCACAGTCACACCACTGGGCACAGACGGCAGGACATGGTGCATCCTCCGTCCAGCATGGCACCGTCCAGACCCAGGACTCAGGGACTAGGGCAGACCCAACGCTCCAGCGTCCACACTCTGAGCCTGAACACACTGTGAATCCCTGCCCTGGACTCCACGAGCCTCTTCCCACTGTCCACACATGGTCAGCCAGACCCAAACGCTGCTCCATCGCCTGTCAGGGCGAGCTCTAACCATCCACCTGCCGTGTCACCTACACACAACACCCTCCTTCCAGAGAAACCTGGCTCTGCCACCAACAGGTGGTCTCATGCCGGTTCCTTCACTGCCTGTGCCTCAGGCTCTCTGTCCACACAGCGGGAAGATGAAGACGATGATGATGATGATGATGATGATGATGATGATGATGGCCCCCGTGGATCAGCACTCAGGACCAGATGAAATGGTGTGCTTCAGAGTGCGGTGTCCAGCCTGCACCAAGCCCTCAGCCCATGCAAGCTGTTCTTGTGAGATTATTGCCACCACGTCCCTCCACCCAGAATGCCCCTCGTCTGCTGCACCTGACTTGTCGGCCCCCACCCCCGGCTCCCCGTCGGGGAGGTGCGCCCGCCCCCGAAAGGCACCAAGGCTTGTGGAGCCGATGCCCAGCCAGGAAATTCACAGCCGCACCGCTGACCCTCTGGGCCCAGGAGCAGAACACAGCATGACACCCTCGAGCTGGAGGTGACATGCCCCCTGGTCCTGTTCCCGCGGTCCCCACAAGGTGGTGCTCCCAGGCGAAGGCCCATGGTGGTCCACTGGCAGCAGGTGCGTCCACCTCTCTTCTCAGTGCTCCTGCAGGGACGCTGCTTCCTTCCTGGGGCTCTCTGTCCAGCGGCCACCGTGCCCACATGGCGGCCGCGATCCCAGTGCTCTGGACACGCTGCCTCATTTAACCACAGCAGGACTCGAGCTGGGAGGGCAGAGCAGACACAGGATGTGGTTGTTAGCACAAAACAATGACAGTGTCGGTGCTGCCACTCTGGAATTTCTCTTTCTAACGATAAAATAACTGAACTGACTCAAGGAACAGCAGAAATTGCAATTGGAAGGATCCTCAAGAAAGCACTAAGATTATTCAGTAACTTACCTGTTCATTCGACTGGGGCCCAGGGGGCCTCCATGGGAGCTTTCAGACTTCACTGCAGCGGGAGCTGCTCCAGGACTCCCAGGAACGTTAGCTTTATCATGATCCCAAGCTCCCAGACAGACACGCGGGCTAATTTGCACGTCAGCAAAGAGCCAAAGTCATAAATGAAGTCTAGGAGGCCAACTTCTGTCCAGCTCTCGGGACAGAGACTTCAAGGAGGAACGAGGGACGGTTTGTAGCTCATCCAGCACGCAGCAAAAGACGGCCTGTGGCTGTCTCACCAGAAAGGGCAGGACTCCCTTCGTGAACCGAAGTCCCAATCCAGTCAATCCGCCGTGGGCCCCATGTGTGTCCCGGCCTCTCTCCACACACCTGCGCCCCCGCCGAGTCCGCAGAACGGCTGCACGCCCGCAGCCCTGCCCAGTCTGTGCAGAGAGGCTGTCGTCTCACGCTCTAGAGACAGTGGCAGGTGCCTCACCCTGCCTGGGTCAGTGTCTGCAGGGACGCTCTTCAGCGCAGCTGCGCGGACCTCCTGCCAAGAGCTCCCAGCAGCGAGGGTGACAGGCGCAGCATGTCCTCAGTGTCACAATATCACCTCTAAGTCCCAGGAGGGAGCTGGCGACACCATGCCCCCAAAAGAGGTCCTTTCCAAAGGGTCAGCCTGCTGGGCCGGGCCACTGGTCAGTTCCCCATCCTGCAGCCCAGAGATGCACGGGTGTCCCACGCCTGCAGCACAGTGACACGGGAGCCCACGTGTGCACCGGGCCGCCTCCTCCTCCCCCCAGGGCCTGGCTCCTGCGCAGACAGTGAGCAGGAAGCCGTGCACTCTCAGGCTCCCACGTGACAACCCCACTCCCACCAGCCTCACAGCACATCTGACACTCACAGAGCTCCACCCTTCCTGTTTAGCATTGTGGCATGGGGGACCCATAACTTGCTGACGCCTGCCTGTCTATCAGTTACTCCCAAGGGACCGCAGGCCCGTGGCCACCCACAGGGTGTGATGAGCGACAGCACCACCTATCTCTTGTCTGCACAGAATCCTTTGCTCACCAGCACACCCGCCCACAAACCGCTACACTGCTTTCCAGCCTGAGAAACCCGCAGCTGCCTCCACAGAAAGACAGAGGCAGAACATTCTGGAAGATGAGTCTGGGAACATTTCCAGCTCAAAGGCTGGACAGCCAGCTCCCTTGTTCCCAGCAGCCACTATGGTCAGCAAAATGAGCACAAACGCCAGCCTGATATGTCAGGACAGCGCTGGGCGTGGCAGCTGTGCACCTGCTAGGGGAGTTTCCTCATGCTCCCAGCAGGACACCCATGTGCTGAGCCCACCCACAGCCTCCCCAGGGCTCTGCCTCCATGCACAGGTCAGCCTCTACAACCCGGATTCCCACTCACCACACCTCTCGGAGGGGTTTCGGGGCGGGGCTGTGTCACTGTGGTATTATTCTCCTGGATAGAGTAATTACAACCACAGAGTCACAGCGTCCATCAAAAATCCCATCTCTGTCCTCGAGAGGCCGTGACGCTGTGCCCAGGATTTTGAGCAGGGCCACATCCCACAGGTACGGTGACTCCCACAGCAGTGCAGCCAGAACCCACACCTGCTGGGGCTACAGGCACACGGAAGGCCCACAGCCCCCAGCTTCCCTGACACGGCAGCAGTCACCACCGCCAGGCTCCTGTCCTAGCCCATCGGACCGTGAAGTCAATGAGCCGAAGCCGCCCAGATTGCAGCCAGGCCTCCCTCCAAAGGGCACCCCTGAGGGCCCTCCCAAGACCAGGAGGGCCCCAAAGCCACCGTCCACTGGGATCCAGCCAGCAGCTCGGGAAGCTCCCTCCTTCAGGACACATGAGGGTCAAGGCTGGAAGGCACAGAGACCCCTCTCTGAGAGGACCTCTGAGCCCCTCTGGCTGGACAGGGACAACAGGAAGGTGGGGCTGGAACCATGAGCTGGTACTACCCCAGCACTGTGGCCATTGGGCCACTTGGTCACATCACACTTACCCAATGCCACTGTGCGCCCCGCACCACACACCCCACACAGCACCCCGCACACACTACCCACAGCACCCCACACCCTACAGCAATGCATACCGAACACCATCCCAAACCCCATACCACCCAACACACCACACCAACCTGCACACCACAAACTCCAATCCAACATCCCCCATACCACAGCACCCTGTACCCAACAAAACCCCACACCCAGTGAACACGGCATGCCACAGAACCCCACTGCCACACCACCCCGCACCCCACACCACCCCACATGCCATTCCACCTTCTTCACATGAGTTGCCCTAAGTGGGTTGGGACCCTGCCTGGTGGTCCCAGGAAGGTGGGCGGGGCTCCCCCTCAGGGGCAGCTGATTGAATTTGATTTGGGGAACGTTTCTTTCAGGAGGAGGCGTGGACACATGTGCCCACATCCCTGGGAACTGCCTGGCTGGACCGAATCCATGGCCCAGCGGCCTCTTCAGCCTGACCCGAACTCAACCTTACTGGCAAACCCACTGAGGACCCTCACTGCAGTCTTGGACACAAGGATCTTCCAGGAACCGACACCCTGACTCAGGCCAGGCCTCAGCCAGACCAGGTCATGGACCCCAAGCCAGTGTGAGACCACCTGTAGGAGACAGGGTGGCCCTCTGGTGCAAATCCATCTGCCCAGCTCTGCCTGGATAGTAAAAGGACCTGGCGTGCTCTCCATGGCCTCTTGGCGCCCAGTCCTGGACGCTTGCCTCTGCCCATCCCTTCAGCAGGGGTCACACACGCCCTTCCTGGGGAGACAGGGGTGAGGGTGGCAGCCAGACCACCCACTGCTCACCATCCTGACGAAGAGAGATGCACTGGGCATCTGTGTAGATGGGCCATGCTGGACCCATGGGACCCTCAGAAGAGAGGGGCCCGCCTGCCACACACAGGGCTTTTTGTCAAGGACCTTCCTACTGTGTTACTATGGCTGGGGTAACCACAGTGACAGATCCGGCAGAAAAAACCTGCTGGGAACCCCTGGGCCTCAATGCCAGGAGTGGCTGCTCTCAAGGCTCAGAGCCCAGACCCTCGGCCTCCAGGGCCACTCCCAACCACTCAGCCCAGGGGTTTGTGTCCAGGCACAGCCCTCACAGCTGGGGGCTTCTGAGGGCTCTGTGACCACACTGACCCACAGCCACATGCCCAGAGCCTGGCAGGCTGGCAGAAACTGCCCTGTTCTCAACACCACCAGCCAAAGGAATCAGGAAGGACAGTACTGGGCAAAACCACCAGAGGTAAGCGCCCAACAGGACCCCAGAGGCCCTCTGGGAGGGTGACAGAAGCAGACGCCAGAGCTGGGCCTGTGCTTGGCTGCACAGGAGCTCACCCAATGAGAGAGGCAGGGCAGGGGTCATGGGGTCGGACACCTCCCAGTCAGCTGAGGATCCCAGGCAGGTGGGTCCGATCCTGGCCTGGCCCAAGAGGGCTCCGGGAGCCTCTCCCAGGAGCGGGCTTGTGCAGGCTCCTGCTCCAGGGGTCTCGCTGAGGTCACTGCCAGGAGGCGCCCCCTGCTATATATCCACCCACAGTGAGTTTCTCTCCAGGGAAACCCCTCAGAGGAGCCGGCACCCCTTCACCTCCTGCCCAACGTTTGCTGAGGACCCGGCTCCTAACCAGGCGCCGGCCCCCGGGAACACAGTGGCAGCAGCACCAGCCTCAGAGACCCCAGTGCTGGGACGTGTCTGTCACGGTTCAACTGCACTGACACCTCACTTGAGTGGTCATCCATCCTGGTGACACTTTTCCCAAAGGGCTTGAGCATCAGCCCTACCTGCCCTCAGCCCTGGGAGACACTTAGCAAACCACTCCTCCGTCTTACCCACAGCTCAGACCTCCTGCAATGCCCCCTCCCAGAGACCTGGGCCCCTGAAGGCTGGAACCTGAGGCCTCTCCTGACAGCCACGCTCTGCACGTGCGGGTGCACCGAGATCCCAGAGCCCAGGCCGGGAGTCTCCATCCAGACCCCCGCACCAAGAGACCACTGCACCCCTGCAGGGCTTCTGGCAGCCCAAGCCAGCGTCCCACGAAGACCCCAGACCCCTGAAAGCCCGGCCTGAGACAGCCCAGTGCTGCAGGAGAATTTGCCCTCTGTTCCAGCCGACACCTGACTCAGCCCGACCCCCCTCCTGGGAGCATTTACTGAGAATCCTGCCTCTGCCCTGTGAGGGGCGTGTGTCCCCACAACCCAGGAACGTCTCCATCCAGGACCTGGACCTGTTCCTCAGAGACGGACCCACCAGGAAGGACGGGCCCTGGGTCCCCCAGTCTCTGTGAGGACAGAAACTGACACTTCATTGCTGGCCAGTGGACAGAGCACTGGGCGTCCTCATGGACCACCCTTCCTGAGTCCTCACTGGAGCCCCACTCGGCCCCTCCCTGCCCCTCACTCTCCCTCTAAAACGCCTGTATCCTCTGTGCAAACCCAGATGGAGTCACTCTGTCCCTGCTGTCAATAGTGACAATGAGTCTGTTTCCATCACTTAGACCAATGTGAAGGCCCCTGAGGCTCACTGAGTGAATATCTGACCTGGAAGACCAGGGCCCATTGAACTCGGCACCCACTCTATTTGGATCCCATGCGGAAGCAGGTGTCCGTGAGCCCCTTAGGCCAAGTCCAGTGCCCACAGCAGCTCTCATGCTCTAGGTTGAGCACCAGACTCGCCTGGGCATCCACATCATGGGCCCTGTGAAGTGGACCCAGCCCACCTGTCACGGCCCTGAGACACTGGACACGGCGGGGGCTCTGGAATCCTGTGGGATAGGCAGACAGAGCCGTCCAGCCAGTAGACCTCACTGCAGCCACTCTGGGACCCCCTGCCCCTCGGGAGGGCAGCACAGTGGACAGCGGACAGCCCGGGCTTCAGCTCCCAGGACAAAGGCTGAGGCTGGCTGAGCACACAGGTGCTCTCGGTGGGCAGGGGCCCTGGGGGGGCCGTGAGAGTTTCTGGGAAGGAGGTCCACACTCACTCTGAGCCGGGGAACGAGAGTGTCTGGGAAGCTCAGCTCAGAGACCCCCCAACTAGGGAGACACCTGTGAATGTGGGGGCGGCCCTGCGAGCTGGGCGCGGAGAGACAAGGTGGGGGTCTCCTGGTGCTCACTGCGGAGAGCTGGCCTCTCAGGAGTTAGGCGGCCAATCCCAGGCCCCTGTCAACAGGAAAACTCACGGGTGGGACACCAACCCCATCAGCAAATTCCAGCAGAGACGAGATGGGGGCAGGGGAGCCAGACCCTCATTGGCCACACCAGGGACAGTTCCTGAGACGGGCCCGGAGCAGAACAGAAAGAGCCAGAATCCGAGCCAGGCAACCGGCCGCCACACGGGCCGCAGGGGATCCAGGGCTGCCTGCGCTGGGAGCCGGTGCTCCTCATCCTCCCACACAGGGCTGTGCCCGGGGCTGCCAGCCAGCAAACGCAGGAGGCCGTGTGCAGAGCCGCCCCTGGACCCACAGAGGCTCCGACGGTCTTCCCCACTCACCCCAGATGTTCAGAACAGTAACCACCGGAAACTCAGGCTGTTCCCACAGAGCCTGCCTGAGCCAACAGAAGGGAGAGGACACAGGGCCAGGCGGAGGATTTTGTGGGGGCCTGTGTCACCGTGATGATGACTATGGTGATACTTTCTACTATACACACAGTGACACAGCCCCCATCCAAAACGTCAGCCCAACACACGTCCCCGGAGCCACCATGTCCGTCCCCATGCAAACACACCCGACTCCTGACCAGAAATCTCTCCCGGGGTCAGAGAGCAGCTCAGTGACTGTAACAGAAGGAGACCCAGAGAAGCCAAGGGGACCTCCCGCCACCCCATGAGGAGGTGGACAGGAGGCAGGGGGACAAGGCTGTGACAGGGAATCCCAGGAGGGACCCAGAAGACCATGAGGGGCTGATGCTCTGGGGAGGGCCCAGAGGGGTGTGAGGAGAGCAGAGGGAAGGAGAGTGGCCCCCTCATTCTTTGTTTGCTCACATAGTCACCACGTGCAGACACGACATTTGTAAAGTCCTGTTTTTCATATCGGATATAAATTTATCTTTAAATCATACCTCCCGGCAATGCCCAGAAGGGCATCAGGTCCTGAATCTGCAGCTTCTCCCCTGCAGGTCCAGGAGTAACACAACCACCACCACCTGCCACCTGCCACCCAGATGACGTGGGCCAAGGTCCCAGGGGCAGGGCCACACACTGAGTTCAAAGAGCAAAGACACAGCACGGTCCTGTGCAGGGGCACAGAGGTACAGAGGAGGCAGAATTCTAGGGAAGACTTGCTCCCCAGGCCCAAGGAACCTCGGGGACACGGGCCAGCAGATGAGGGTCCCAGCAACACCCAGCCCTCTGGTTCCAGGATCACCTGGGGAAGTTGAGAAAAGCAAATGCCAACACTGGCCTGGGCATCCCCGACAAGTGCCAGCACTCTCTAAAAGCTCCAGGTTGTTCTCAGTGGGGACTAGATACGGACCAGGGTCCCTGCTCCAGAGGGAGATGCCCCTGAACAAACCGGAGCTGCTGGGCCCAGTGAGGGTCAGTCACCCAAAGTCACCATGGACTCGAGGCCCAGAGGCCAGTGAGGGGCCTGAAGAGGCTCAGATTCAGCTGAGTTCCAGGCCTGGAGCCACGAGGGCTCAGGAGGGACACCGGCATGGGGATGCAGGGCCCTGTGCTCTCCCAGCAAACGTCACCTCACAGGGGCTCTGGATGCTCCAGCAGGGACACTAGACAGGCTGAGCAGAGAGGATGGGGGGGGGGGTTGGAGAGGAGAGGCACCTGGGCCTCCACACACCTGCATCTCCTCCCCTGCACCTCCTCCCCTGCACCTGCTCCTCCTCCCCTGCACCTGCTCCTCCTCCCCTGCACCTGCTCCTCCTCCCCTGCACCGGCTCCTCCTCCCCCACATCTGTTCCTCCTCCCCTGCAGCTGCTCCTCCTCCCCTGCACCTGCCTCAGGCCCTGCTGGAACCGATAAGACTGAGGCTGCATCCAGGGAGGAGCAGGCTCTCCCAGAGAATCACTGAGCTCTCCTGTCCCCATGGCCTTTAATGCCACACAGGCTTTAGACAGGACACAGCCCACAGAGGGATGGGAAGGGAGATGGCCAGTGACGCCATACTCGGTGCCAGGCAGAACTAGAAGTCCGTGTCCAGGTGGGGCCAAGGCAGCTGCCGTTCTCTCAGTCGCCTCACAGGACCAGAGCACAATCTGGACTCAGAGTCCCAGGGTCAGTGGCATCAAGAATAATGACTCCTGACAGTTCCAACCTCTGGAATCCTGGGTAGAATTCACCCACTGGCCCCAAAGAGACCCATCCAGGGTGTGGGGACAATTTATCAACCCAGAGGTCATCACAGAGTTCTTGGCTCCCAAATGGGCACAGACGCCAGCCCGATGCAGCCACAGAGCCTCAAGACAGAGCTGGGCGGAGCTGCGGTCCACCGGCCAAGAGGGGACTCCCCGTGCTCCCAGAAGGACACCCTCATACCTAGCCTGCCCACAGCCTCCCTGGGGTCTGCCCCCATCCACAGCTCAGTCTCTACATCGCAGGTTCCCATCCACCCCATCCCTCCGAGGGATTTGGGGGTAGGTCTGTGTCACTGTGGTATTACTCTTCTGCATATGATTGTATCAACCACACCCTCACAGCATCCAGGAAAAACCCCGTCACTGCCCTCCAGAGGGAGTGACACCGTCCCAGGATTTTGAATGAGGCTGCATCCCCTGGATACAATGACTCAGTGGTAGAGCCGGAACCCACACCTGCTAGGGCAACAGGCACAGGGCGGCCCACTAACACCACTGCTTCCCCAACACTGCAGATGTCACCACCACCAGGTTCCTGTCCCAGTTCATCAGATCGTGAAAGCAACGGGCCAAAGCCGCCCAGATCTCAGCCAGACGTCCCGCCAAGGGGCACCCCTGCGGGCACTCCCAAGACCAGGGTGGCCCCACGGACACCGTCCTCTGGGGTCCCAGCAGCAGCTTGTGAAGCTCTCCCTCGGGACACGTGGGGGCCAGGGCTGGAACCACAGCCATCCCTCTCTGAGAGGACCTGTCAGTCCCCCGGGCTGGACAGGAACAATATGAAGGGGGGCTGGACACCATGAACTGCAACCAACCCGGGCCTCCCTGTGGTCACTGGGCCACCTGGCCACATCGCCCCTTCCCCACACCGCTGTGTGCTCCACATCGCCCACAACACATGAACCTCTCACCCCACAACACCCAACACCTGTCAACCCCCGTTCCCCCTGTTGCCCCAAGTGGGTTAGGTACTGCCCTAGGGTTCCAGGGAGGGGGAGGGGCTCCCATTCAGGGGCAGTGGATTGAATTTGATTTTGGAAACGTTCCTTTGAGCAAGAGGGGTGGACACATGTTCCCATGTCCCTGGGACCCATCTGGTTGGACTGTCCACCCAGAACACAATGGCTCTCCTGGCCTGGCTCAGACCCAACAAGCTGGGGGGCCCACCAAGGACCCTCAAGGCACACTCAGACATGAGGAACTTCCAGGACTGACACACTCCCAAGGCCAGTCCTGGGCCAGAACAAGACCAACCCCGAGCCTATGTGGGACCACTTGAAGGAGACGGGGCCACCGTCTGGGGCAGCCCCCTAAGCACAGCGCTGCCGGGACCCTAAAAGCACTTGGGGTGCCACCCAGGGCCCCTGGGCCCACTCCCCTGGAAGCTTGTTTTCTCCCAGCCCTTCAGTCAGGGACCAGGGGCCTCCAGCAGGGAGGGGCCTTCCGGTCACTTGCAGGGCTTTTTGTCGGGGACCTTCCTACTGTGTTACTACAACTATAACTACCACAGTGACAGACCCGGCAGCAAAAACATGTTGGAATCAGCTTGGCCTCAAGGCCAGGAGGGGCGGCTCTCAAGACTCAGAACCCAGACCCTCAGCCTCCAGGGCCGCTCCCAACCACTCAGCCGTGGCTTGTGTCCAACACAACCCTCACCCGCGGCTGGGGGCTTCAAAGGATTCTGAGACGACCACACTGACCCCATGATCACACACCCAAAGCATGTGTAGGTGAGCTGTGCCCCAGGGCTGCCAGCCAGCAAACGCAGGAGGCCGTGTGCAGAGGCGCCCCTGGGCCCGCAGAGGCTCGGGTTGGTCGTCCCCACTCACCTCGAGGTTCAGAGCAGAAACCACCGGAAACACAGGCTGTTCCCACAGAGCCGGCCTGAGCCAGCGAGGCGGAGAGGGCACAGGGCCAGGCGGAGGATTTTGTGGGGGCCTGTGTCACCGTGATGGTTACTATAGTAGGAGTTGCTATACCCACAGTGACACAGGCCCCATCCAAAACCTCCGCCCGACACAAGTCCCCAGGGCCACCGTGTCCGTCCCCATGCAACACACCTGACTCCTGACCAGAAATCTCTCCCAGGGTCAGAGGGCAGCTCAGTGACTGTAACAGAAGGAGACCCAGAGAAGCCAAGGGGACCTCCCGCCACCCCATGAGGAGGTGGACAGGAGGCAGGGGGACAGGGCTGTGACAGGGAATCCCAGGAGGGACCCAGAGGACCATGAGGGGCTGAGATCTCTGGGAAGGGTCCGGGTGGCTCGAGGAGAGCAGAGGGCCCTCCCATGCTTAACCGCCTCACGTCGTCACCACCTGCAAACACTACATTTTTAATGAGATTTTTTTAAACCTGATGTAAATATATCTTTAAAATGTTATCACCTGAGGTTCTGGGACCCACAGCTTCTGCCCCTGTGGAACTGGGCCCGGCTCAATGCAGCCACCACTACCTGCCACCTGCCACCCAGGGGACGTGGGTCAGGGTCCCAGGGGCTGGGTTGCCCAGTGAGACCAAAGAACAAAGGCACAGCATGGCCGTGGGCAGGGATACTGAAGCACAGAGGAGGTAGGATCCCAGGGAAGACTCACTCCCCAGGCCTGAGAACCCTTGGGGACAAGGGCCGGCAGGGCATGGGTCCCAGCAAAGGGCCAGCCCTCCAGGACCAGCATCTCCTTGGGAAGTTGAGAAAAACAAACGTCTAACCTGCCCCGGGCATCCACCACAGGTGCTGGCGCTCTCTGGAAGCTCAGGCTGCTTCTGGGGGGACACGATATGGACCAGGGTTCCTGCTCCAGAGGGAGACGCCCCTGAACCATCCAGAGCTGCTGGGCCTCATGAGCGTCAGTCACCCACAGACACCACGGACTCAAGGCCCAGAGGCCACTGAGGGGCCTGAAGAGGCTCAGACTCAGCCAAGCTCCAGGCCTGCAGCCACGAGGGCTCAGGACAGGCGTGTGCTCGGGAAGGCAGGGCCCTGTGCTGCCCCAGCAAACTTCACCTCACAGGGTCTCTGGATGCTCCAGCAGGGACCCCAGACAGGTGGAGCAGAGGGGTTGGAGGTTGGGCGGGAGAGTCACCTGGGCTTCCCTACCGGCTCCTCCTCCCCTGCACCTGCTCCTCCTCTCCTGCACCTGCCTCAGGCCCTGCTGGAACCGATAGGCCTGAGCTGCATCCAGGGAGGAGCAGGCCCTCCCGCAGAATCACTGAGCTCTCCTGTCACCACAGAAGTGAAAGTCACGCAGGCTTCAGACAGGACAGAGCCCACAGGGAGAGGGGAAGGGAGATGGCCAGTGAGGCCGTGCTCAGCCCGAGGCAGAGCCAGAGGCCCATGTCCACATGGTTCCAAGGCTGCTGCCTTCTCTCAGTCGCCCTCACAGGACCCGGAGCACAATCTGGACCCAGAGTCCCAGGGCTTGGGCATCAAGAATAATGACTCCTTCCTGCTGCCACCTCTGGCCTCCTGGGTGGGAGGCACCTTCTGGCCCCAAGGTGACCCATCCAGGGAGTGGGGACAATTTATCATCCAGAGGCTGTCACAGTGGGGTTGACTCCCAAATGGGCACAGACACCAGCCCGACGCAGCCACGGAGCCTCAGGACAGAGCTGGGCTTGGCACCTGCCGGGGGGGTCTCCCTGTGCTCCCAGCAGGACGCCTGCATGCTGAGCACCCCACAGCCTCCCTGGGGTTCTGCCTCCAACCACAGCTCAGCCCCGACATCCCAGCTTCCCGCCGATCCTGCCCCTCCGAGGAGTTTGAGGTGGGTCTGTGTCACTGTGGGATTTACTGTTCTGGGTGCAGATGCTCGTTACAACCACAGCAACACAGCGCCCATCCACACCCCATCCCCATAGCCCAAGCCCGTGATGTTATCCCCATCATTTGGAGCGAGGCTACATCCCCTGGGTACAGTGACTCAGCGGGGCAGCCAGAACACAAACACGCTGGGGCGACAGGATCAGGGGTGGCCCACAGCCCTTATGATTCCCCAACACAGCAGATGTCACCACCACCAGGTCCCTGTCCAAGTCCATCGGAGCGTGAAAGCCAGAGGCGAAAGCCGTCCAAATCACAGCCAGACCTCTGTCCAAGGGTCACCTCTGCCGGCCCTCCCAAGACCAGGAGGGATCCAAGGACACCTTCTTCTGGCATCCAGCCAGCAGCTTGGGACGATCCCTCCCTCAGAATACGTGGGGGTCAGGGCTAGAAGGCACAGAGACCACACTCTGCAAGGACCCTGTGAGTCCCCCTGGGTGGAAAGGGGCAAGTCGAAGGTGGGGCTGGCCACCCTGAGCTGGACTACCCCCACCCTGTGGCCATTGGGCCACCTGGCCACACCACCCATTCGCCACCGTGAGCTCCACATCGCCCACACCACACGAACTCCACACCCCACAGCACCCGACACCCCTCAACTACTGTTCCCCAAGCGTTACCCAAAGCAGGTTGGGGTCCTGCCCTGTGGTTCCAGGA